GCGAGACCAGATGTTTTCAAGACCATTAAAGGGGTCGATGCCTGGAGATGCCAGTTTTATGCTGTTTACATTTCCGATATTTTCTCGCGTATAGAGGTTAGCCACGAAAATATTGAATAAGTGGCAGTGGACCAAAACAGGCGATGGTCATTGACAGGAGGCGAGTTAGTTGGTACGGCAGCTAACTCTAAAAAATACGTCAAAACTCTACGACATGGTCATAGACGGGTAAGAGGCTCCATACACCCCCCCCCCCCCCCGCTGCCTTGCAGGGTAAGACTCTTTAGACAAAGGCTATTGGAGTCAAACCATTCACAAACCGGCGGAAGACAAGAGAAAACCACCGCTATACTATCCCTAGTTAATCATGCCCCAAAATAATACGAATTCAGATAACGACGTGAATGGGCATTCCGGTGGAATCACCTCGTCCGGTAGGGAGCATCATGTTCTACGGTTGATACCCGACCGTCATCCAGCTACTGTAGAAAAAGTAAATGGTAGAAACATCCTGAACATTGGTACATGGAATGTCAGAACACTAGTACAAAACGGAAAGTTGGATAACATCAAGATGGAAATGAAGAGAATGAACATCAACATATTAGGAAACCGTAAAGTGCGATGGCCAGGAGCAGGGAAAAGTATTCAGATCAGCACATAATTATTTACTCGGGTGGGAAGGAATTTAGTAAGGGAGTTGGTATTATTTTGGATCCAAAGAACTCAAAAACTGTTAAAGGATTTTGGACAATATCAGATAGAGTACTATTAGTAAAACTTCGCGGCAGACAGTTTGACATCAACTTAGTACAGATTTATGCCCCAACAGCAGATAGTTCAGAGGAAGATATTGCCGCATTTTATGACGAGTTAGACATGGCTGTCGATCAATGCAAAAATTGGGAAGTAGCAATGGTACTTAGAGATTTTAACGCGAAAATAGGAAGTGAAAAAGTGTACGGAATAACGGGTGGCTATGGCCAAGGAGAAAAGAATGTGAGAAGTGACAGATTAATAGCATGGGCTGAGTCGCGCAACATGATAATAGGTAACACCTGGTTTAAACACCATCCTCGAAGATTGTGGACTTGGGAAAGTCCTGGTGATAATGTCCGCAATCAGATTGATTAAATTTTGATTTCAAGAAGATTCCAGAGCAGCTTAGTTGGAGCAAAAACTAGACCAGGGGCAGACTGCTTTGTGACCATGTTCCAGTTGTAGGAAAAATTAGAATAAAACTAAAGAACATTAGAAAAACAAAAGAACATCAAGTTAAATTTAGGAATTCTTAGAACGGATAAAGAAATTAGGGAACAGTACAATGTCACTGTACAAAACCGGTATAATGCAATGGAAATTATACAGACTGTTGATGAACAATGGGATATGTTGCGTGAGTCAATTCAGCAGACATCAAAAGAGACAATCCTACCAACCCATAGAGTTGCAAAAAAGAAATGGATGTCAACCGAAATTTTGCAGTTGATGGATGAAAGAATGAAGAAAAAGAATGATAAAGAAGAATACTCTAGAATAGTGAACAAAAGCAAAGTGGCTAAAGACGCCTGGCTGAATCAAATGTGTACAGAGATTGGGGAAAATCACAGGAAAGACTCACATTCCATGTACCAACAGATAAATATTTTAACAGAAAAAATGACACGTAACATCACTGGATGTTTGAAATCAAAAGATGGTGACTTATTAATGGGACATAGTAATATAATTTAAAGATGGACAGAGTATATAGGGGAATTGTTTAATGATAATAGACCAGATGTAGAACTGCAGACCAACAATGATGGTCCACCAATAATGACTGCAGAAGTTGAGGATGCAATACATCATATGAAGAAAGGGAAAGCACCCGGGCCAGACAACATCTCCATGGAAGAAATCGAAGCACTGGGAGATTTTGGAATTGAAATAATAACTAAACTTTTAAATTATTTTTATAATAGTAGGTATATTCCAAATGACCTTTTAAAATCTATATTTATAGCTCTGCCAAAGAAACCGGGCACTTTGAAATGTGAAGACCATCGCACAATACGTCTTATGAGTCACATGACTATGATTTTGCTGAGAATAATAATGAGAAGAATAAGAGGGAAAAAAAACAACAGAAATCAGCGATGAGCAAATGTGGATTTGTAGAAGGAAAAGGTACAAACAATGCCATATACATCCTAAGGACATTGTCAGAAAGAGCTATAGAAGTAAAGACTGATTTGTACTTATGCTTTATAGACTATACAAAAGCATTTGACTGTGTGAAGCACAAAGAAGTAATCAAACTGTTAGAAACATTAGACATTGATGGGAAAGATCTACGAATAATAAAGAATATGTATTGGCAGCAAACAGCAGCTATAAGAATTATGAACTGTTTAGGTACATTTCAAAGTATAAAGAGGGGCATACGACAAGAATGTATACTTTCACCTGATTTGTTTTCAATATACAGTGAATATATAATGAGATCTTTAATTGATATGCCCGGAATTGTGGTTAGTGGGCACAATATAAACAATTTACGTAATGCTGATGACACAGTCTTGATAGCAACAAGTCAGAAAGAATAACAGGAAATGATAGACATTGTGTTGTTAGAAAGTGGAAGAATGGGCCCCAGTTTAAATAACGGGATTACAGAAGTAATGGTGGTATAAAAAATAAAAAAACACGAATTATTCCTAAAATGTGTAATAAAAGTCGATGGTGTTATTTTAGGACAAGTACAGACATTTAAGTATCTGGGCACATGGATAACATCAGATGGAAGATGCATAATTGAAATAAGAAACAAAACTGGACAGGCAAAAACTGCGTTTTATAAATTGAAAAACATATTGTGCAATATATCCTTGTCATTGAGAGTTAGAAAAAAAAATTCTTGCTTGCTATGTACATCCAGTTTTAACATATGGCTGTGAATCCTGGACAATCGGTAGGCAGGCCAAACAATTTTTAGAGGCCTCAGAGATGTGGTTTCACAGAAGAATGCTTAGAATACCCTGGACAGCTAAAACAAAGCAACCAAGAGGTTTTGAAAGAGGTGGGAGCCCGAAGACAACTTATCACAGACATCAGAAGGAGACAGTCATCATTTTTCGGCCATGTTATGAGAAGAGGGAAAATAGAACATGTTGTGAAAACTGGAGAGATCTGTGGAAGGAGGGATGGAGGAGGACAACGAGAGAAGATGCTTGGCAGTCTTGTTGCATGGCATGGAGGTGTGTCAGCACACAAACTGATATATGCTGCAGGAGATCGCAGATTATGGAGAGGCATGATCGCCCACGCCAGTCGGCAAGGCACCTGATGATGATAAGATTCTCTCCCTGGCTATGAGTCGCCCTCAGAGGGCAGCCAAACCCTATGGGGTAAAAACGTGGCACAACGAAGTTATTTCTTCCTGATCCAGTAACATTGATTTTAGTCGAGCCATACTTAGCTTTTGATTCTGATTTACCTGGTTTGATTCAGCCTCAGTAAATTGGCAGCTGACCACTTTGCGTGGATTTGGACAATGCCATGGTTAGCCGACCGTTTACTCAGCATCGCAGACTACTAAACGTTATGTCAGCAATGTTAAAGTCATCTATGCTCAGTCAGCAATGTTAAAGTATGCTATGTTGAGTCAGCAATGTTAAAGTCAGCTATGTTCGATCAGGAGTGTTGAAGTCAGCTATGTTCAGTAAGCAATTTTAAAGTCAGCTATGTTCAGTCAACAGTGGTAAAGTCAGCTATGTTCAGTCAGCAGTGTTAAAGTCAGCTTTTAATCAGTCAACAGTGTTAAAGTCAGCTACGTTCAGTCAGCAATGTTAAAGTATAATATGTTCAGTCAGCAATGTTAAAGTCAGCTATGTTCAGTCAGCAATGTTAAAGTCAGCTATGTTCAGTCAACAGTGTTAAAGTCAGCTATGTTCAGTCAGCAATTTCAAAGTCAGCTATGTTCAGTCTGCAATTTGAAAGTCAGCTATGTTAAGTCAGCAGTGTTAAAGTCAGCTATGTTCAGTCAGCAATGTTAAAGTCAGCTATGTTCGGTCATTAGTGTTAAAGTCAGCTATGTTCAGTCAGAAATTTTAAAGTCAGCTATGTTCAGTCAACAGTGTTCAAGTCAGCTATGTTCAGTCAGCAGTGTTCAATTCAGCTATGTTCAGTCAGCAAGGTTAAAGTTAGCTATGTTGAGTCAGCAATGTTAAAGTCAGCTATGTTCGGTCAGCAGTGTTGGAGTCAGCTATGTTCAGTAAGCAATTTTAAAGTCAGCTACGTTCAGTCAACAGTGGTAAAGTCAGCTATGTTCAGTCAGCAGTGATAAAGTCAGCTTTGTTCAGTCAACAGTGTTAAAGTCAGCTATGCTCAGTCAGCAGTTTAAAAGTCAGCTATTTGAGTCAGCAATGTTAAAGTCAGCTATGTTCAGTCGGCATTGTTAAAATCAGCTATGTTCAGTCGGCATTGTTAAAATCAGCTATATTCAGTCAACAGTGTTAAAGTCAGCTATATTCAGTCAGCGAAGTCGACTATGTTCAGTCAGCAGTGTTAAAGTCAGCTATGTTCAGTCAGCAATGTTAAAGTCAGCTATATTCAATCAACAGTGTTGAAGTCAGCTATATTCAGTCAGCGAAGTCGACTATGTTCAGTCAGCAGTGTTAAAGTCAGCTGTGTTCAGTCAGCAATGTTAAAGTCAGCTATGTTCAGTCAGCAATGCCAGCTATGTTCAGTCAGCAGTGGCAAACAGGTCAACCTAAAATTGTCTAGTAAAACTTGAAACAGCCAAGAAATGAAGTGTGTTTTTAAACGTCACATAAGGGAGACAACTGAGTTTTAACAAGCAAGTCACATAGAAAAATTTCTTTTTGACCTAGCCAGTTGCTTATTCTTCTTATGTTTTATCTGTTGATAAAAACTCTGTGTTGAATCTTTCGGTTGTATCTGCATATATGTTGTTCCCTACTTTTTCCTCAGCACAGAACTATTCAGATTTCAGCACCATGTCTCGGCTTCTGATAATCTTGTCGGCGTTGTTGGCGGTCACTTGGTCAGTCCGAATAATAGATCTGTCCCACAAGCATGGACCTGACACGTTGATGTTTGCGGACTCTCCAAACTTTAGAAGATCTGATATATTTAGGGGCGACCTCTTACCTGGTGTTTTGTAAGTATTGTCAATATTAGATAAATATAATATTATTCTGCGAGTTTGTCTCCCTAGTGGATTATAGGTATTCAACTTATCAGTAGTAGGGTTCGTTAGTTATATCGTTATCATGTTTATTCAATGTGGGGCAGATCCGGGGTCAGCATCTTTTCCTCACCTCACCTCTTGATTCACGGGAATTCGTTTGATGCTCGTCTGCCAAAATTCCAGGTTGATAATGTTGTTGTACTACTGAAAAAAACAGGTTAACAACTGTCACAACTATAGGAGGGCCCTAGGAAGGGTAGGGTTCCTATACAGGAGGTATCTTCAGTCTATAAGTGTGGCTCACTAAAAGTATGGTACTTCATTGTCTACAAGGGTAGAGAGACCGAGATATTGCTCCTGGGACAGAGGACAGGAAGATAAGGCTACCCCGCTCCGATGGGTGGTGCTAGGCAGACTAGTTATCCTGGTGGCAACTCCTCTGCCACTTTTAAAGAAAGAGCTCCCAGAGAAAGAAAGCGAAGAATGCCCCCTTCTCGCTCACTCAACTATTACTCACGCACAGCAACAAAGACAGACGAGAATAGTAGTGAATGAAGAACGATGTCGCTTTAATTTTACTGACAGCTGACTGGCTACAAATTGACAGTGGTTTGGTGTTTGATTTTAAACCAAATGGTTATCATCATAAGAGAAATGTCTACTGGGTCCAGTTCCTTCCCCGCACGAGTACAGCTCACCCGTGGATACTCCCAAAGGCTGGACTTGATGGGGAAACCGGAACACTTGGCTTCTTGTAGATCTTATTTCTTGTGATATCCTCTTGTAGATAATCCACCGCTGATGTTCTTAAAGTTTCAGATACGACACGTGGTCGTTTAGAAAATTCGACACGTGGTCGGTTACAATTACGACTAGTAGTCGATTATGAATAATGGGATTAAATCCCTTAAACTGTCTCTTTGTCTGTGCCGATTCTATGGCGACATGACAATGGGTACAATTGTGTACTAATCGTTGAGTCCTTGGTGTTATGAAAAATGCCGCAGGGCTGGGGGAAGATAGTAAAAGCCCTGATAAGCGTGTGCAAAAAGGGAACACGTGGTTTCCGAATTTGCTGGTTCTCTGGGCTCTTCAGAATTTATTAACTGAATTAAATATTAATATAATTCAGTTACGATGGTTTACAAAGTACACCGCATTTAAATATTAGCTTCAGTACTAACTTGTAAAGGTAAGGTTTAAACGCACGTGGCCATATATATTTTTATATCGGTCAACTCCCCCGAACTCCAGCCAGCAAATTCAGGGATAACAATTATACTATACTGCTACATAAATAGAAATTAAGGGTACACTTACAGAAGTTTCACAATTAGAAAAAGAGTGCCAACTTACCCCTCAGATCAGTCAGAAATCACTACAGTAATCCAGAACGAATTAATATAGAACTACACTCGCTAATCTGGATACTGCACTTGAAAAAACTAACGACCTCCGCTCTCAACACAGTGGGAAATCAAATGGTCGAAACATGGCCGCTTCCGCTCAAGATGGACGACCCACGTGACGCCAGCCGTGCGCATGCGCCAAAAAGAGTTAGCGCCATCTGTTACCTTCTATTGATTGGTCGCAAAACTAGTATTACATGATTTGGATGTAACTAGTCCAATCTGGTTTTTAGCGGAAGTATTAGGGAAAATCGGGTCCTCTAAACTAATGTTATATATATATCTAGCTTCTGCCCTAAACTATAAGGTAACTAGGGGAGCGTCAGTGGTCATAGTCAGTACTGTCACAACAACAACAACAAAATTGCAACAGATGATGCGAAATTGTCCTAGACTCTTAAAGAGGAAATCGTCCATCATTTGAGAAATCTCTTCAATGCCAGCTAAGGTGACAATTAATTTTTTTTTAAACACAGTAAAAGATTAGGAAACACCGAGTTCCATAATCTTCTTTTTCTTTGCGTTCATCACTTGAATACTCTAACGGAAAGGTCTTGTTCATCCACTTCTGGACTGCAGTTCTATTCCAAAACCTGAGTGTTTTGCGTGTGCATCCGTTTCACAGATCTGACTCATTTGTATGCAGACTGCTGGTTCCTCGCCTCTTAGACAGATGCATTTCGACTTCGGAGGAAGCTCCCAATTAGTCGACTCTTACGATATGCATTTGGGTAGGCAGTGAGTCTATTCTTGTTTTCTCTATAACAGGGCCTCAGAACCCCCACGGGAAAAGTTACATATTAATAAGAGAGACATTTAGAAACTCCTGACAAATATCCCATGTGTACATGAATGTGATATAATGTTACGAGCACACAAATGACAGGGATCAATTTTTTAAGAGCAAATTTTTATGAAACTAAAGAAAAAAGATTACGAAGAAGTTATTACAATGATATGTCATGTCTATGACTCATAAATCCTACTTCTCCTTTTCTGTTGCAGCGTTACTTACGGAAAATACTCCAGTGGAGAACATGGAGGAACACACATGGATGCTCCAAATAACATTATAAAAGGTGAAGTAGCACATCCACTGTAACTATTAATGTTTGGAGTCACTTTGATCATCAGGAATTCATAAAATGGTCTGTTTTATCTACACACACAAAAAAAAATTGTTTTAAAAATTGTTCAGCCTGTCTCAGACGCGATTCCACACTATATCAGACGCGATTCCACACTGTATCAGACGAGATTTCTCGCTGTATCAGATGCGATTCCACACTGTATCAGATACGATTCCACACTCTATCAGATGCGATTCAACACTGTATCAGAAGCGATTCCACACTGTATCAGACGCAATTCCACACTTTATCAGACGCGATACCACGCGGTATCAGACGCGATTCCACACTTTATCAGACGCGATTCTACGCTGTATCAGACGCGATTCCCCACTGTATCAGACGCGATTTTCCACTGTATCAGACGCGATTCCACACTGTCTTTTAATCTGCTTTTATCTTTATTGGTAGGACATCTCAGGTGTTGTTTATTTTGTATACAACAGCCTCTAGTCATAATTGTGTTCTTGGTTATTTGCGCCACTTGCGAAGCTCAGATTGTAGTATGTGAGCCAGCTCTCTGGCTTTATGTTCCTATTTCAATAGCTAGACCGATCCTTCCTGTGTGTGTCCCAATGTGTTCATCTTATCCTTATCTTTCTGAACTTCTCCTCGTGAGTCATCCTCCGCCGTTTCATGTTCCTAATTTTTTTTTTGGCCCTTGTGTCCTCCAATATACTCCTGAATCTGTTCCCTTTTACTTTGGCCAGGTGAATCTTGTAAGAAACAGTGCTAGTTCGCAATTATATCTCAAGTAACGTCTTTTCAGACCACCATCAATAGTTTTAAATTTTGGAATATTTTACTGTGCAAAGTACTGAAAACAGTTTTGGGATTTGCATAGATCCTAAATTGTTTAAATAATTCGCGCATCATCAAAGCGATCTTATAAATGTCTTCCTGTAATGAGAACAGGTTGGGCATATAAAAGTGAAGTAGATAAAAGGGATGGTGAGGTTTAGCAACGCTTCTAGACGATATTCAAATTAATGCGGTAGGCTTGAGGAGGTTTGGGTTGGTGGGCGAGGTTCCATTGTCTGGTTGCAGGCTATTTCTACACATTTCTTCAAAGTTAGTGATATTAATTTTATCCTGTGCAATTACCCTAATTTTCTTGTTGACTAGAATGGCAACACCACTTCGTCTTCCTACCTCCCTGTCATTTCTAAATATTTTTGTATCCTGGGTATTTAAAGATATCCTTTGGTTTTAAACATGTCTCTTGTGGGGTTAGGATATTATTCTCACCTTGCAGATCTTTCATCATTGCTTTAAGTTTAACTTTGGTCCCTCTGCAGTTAAACATGGTCAGGATGGTTCCCTTATGTCCTTGGAGTATCTAGACACCGTTCTCTTTCTGAAAACTGACTCTAAATTTTCAGTAACAGTATTCTTGGGATGGGCGGTGACCGCCGCATACGAATAGAGAGATCAATTTGGAAGAATTGATCTGATTGTCTAATGAGCAAATTAAGCAGAATTACCAAGAAACAGATTTCCATAGCAGGAAATGCCGACAAACAGGGGTACCAACAGGGACGAACTGATCTGACTGTTTACTGAGCACCACTATAGAAAGATTCCTATCACCTAGCAAAAGCAGTTCGCCTAATTTGAATTTTACCTTAAGTAAATAACTGCCTTTTATTTTAAACTCGGCTACAGTGTCAGCTATAACAAGCAAATTGCAAATCTTACAATCCTGAATTGCGAACAAGATGATTAATAATCTGAAAACAGTAGAACGCCTAAAATGACAACACCGTCGTCCCCTCTTGGGATGTAATTTTTTGTTATTTTGAAGCCCCACCCTGGCTTTTGCGGGTGCCCAAAATATAGCCGGGCCATAAATATGGCCTAAACGGCTTAAAGATTTTTCTGGGACCTCTTCATGAGTGATCATCATCTACATGGTGGCACTTTATGTTACCGGGTGTTTATCGCTTGTGTGATGTCCTAGTGGGGTACAACTACCTACCTACCTAAAATGAGAGCTACATAAAATGTGTCTGATTGCTTCGAGTGTGAATTGAAGGCGAAATGGAATACGTTGAATTAATAAGGGCTGAGATGAGTTGAGTTAATGCAAGAACCGACATCACAGCACGCAGGACATTCATATAAGCACTCCGTCCCCATCCTCAGCAGCCAGTGAAGAGTTCCGATACTAATGGTACCAGTAACATTCTGATTAAACGTCAGTCTTGCCTTCCCTCTGAGCCTCGAGCATCTGCCAGAACCTCTCGTCACTCCCAGCTGCATCAATCTCACCAGACTGGTGATCCAAGTGCTCCTCCAAACTGTACAGGCTCTTCCACAAGACACTAACCACGTCTGCCTTATTATGCATCATCAGTATTCCCCCAAGTTGTGCAGAGCCAGCCAATCTGTCGCCTGTTCATTTCCAACACACCGGCGTGTCCCGGTGAAAAAAATCCAAACAATACTCCTCACCCCTGTCCTTCGCAGTGAAGCCTGCCACTCTGCACGAAGCATGCCTGCCCTGACCTTCGTCAGCGTGCCTTCAGAGTCAGTTACAATCACGATGTATGTGTGTGTCGTGTTCTCTAACCAGCGGAAATCTGCAATGACCGCCTCCACCTCCATTCTTGAGATGGATGTTGTGGTATCATACGCTAGGCTCTCCTGCACTAAACGTCGACTATTTACTTTTGCTAAGGAACCCTAGGCACTTCTTTTGCCTCTTGACACTGAACAGTCTGTGTAAATAATCAAATCCTCTGAGCTAGCATTATCTTGAATTAATTGCTGAATTTCCACCTCCGTTACACCTGCTGGCCAATCTCTGCATTCCTGGCTCAGTGTGATTATGAGGGCTGTGTGAGCTTTGGAAATACTTTGGATCGATTCGCAGGTGTGTATAACAGTGTAATGAATAATAACAATTGATATGCTTGTTGTGAGAATAATTTCTATATTCTAGTATTCTGTTTAGACGGTAGGTCAATCAGCGATATTCCATTGGAAGACACAATCGCCGAGGGAGTTCAGATTGACTGTTCACAAGAAGCCGCAAGAGACCGTAGTTTTCTAGTTCCTGTTCAGAAGGTAAACACACAAACACGCGCGCACACTCACAAACACATACATACACACACACACACACACACATAAATATATCTAATTTTTCACCTCGTTTGGCAGACCATTTGTTACAGACACTCTAACAATATGAAATTCAATGAAAACTGACAAGTAAACAGCATCATGTCTGGGAAACTGAAAATCTTGCTCTGGCGATCATACTATGCGCCTCGCTTTGCAAAATCGCCTCATCCACAGACTAGGCGTTCCTAGTCCAGGTGGTATCAATATCCAACATACCTTCATCTAAACAGTTTTACTCTTATCACATTTTAAATGCTAATTCTTTTCTTTTCTTTTCTTTTCTTTCATATTATCACTTTATTCTATCTCCTATCAATAGTATTTATGTATCATTAACATTTGTATTTCACTTGTTCCCACTATTATATTATATATTAACAATATTACTTTTCTGTGTTAGCTCCGTGTTTCCTAGACCATGACAGTAAACATTTTAACGGATTAATTCTGTCTAACGAACGCCACCTACATTCAAACTGAAAGTGTGGATATAGTAAGAAATGTTATGCCAGTACAAAATTGTATCTGTAAAACTAAGTCGATAAAAAAAAATTTTTTTAACATATAGTTTGCTAACCCCTTCTGCTTAAGCAAAGTTACATGCTTGATTTAATACATACTACCCATCAGGCTATTTATGCCCCTACCTTTCATGTTTAGTCAGGGGGGTCTCTAAAAAAACTCCAGCATGTTTCTAAGTCGAATCATTGAGAAAATTGAGGGAACAACTTTTAAGCCTGGAAACTTTCGATGACCCAAATGTAAAAATGCTGTCAATTGATTGGTGAAACCTTGAGGAATTCTTGTTTGCAGTCTGAAGAGTTTTATTTATTAAATAACACCGATTTTGAATGTCACAATTAGGAAAAACAATTTGTTCTTTTCAGTAGCAATGCGTTGAATTGTACAATTTGTCTCGTCCTTGAAAAATACAGATACTAGACTGGGAGAAGGCATACGGGCGGATTCCCAATGGAGCCGCTGTCATAATGAACTTTAACTGGTCATCCAAAATCAACAACAGAACACTCTACCTTGGAAATGAGAGCGACGACATCTTGTAAGTGTCCTGTATCATCCATGTATGTAAAACTAAACAAAAAATCATGCACGTTCAACCTACTGCGAGCAGCAGTGTCCAGTACCTTTCTTGACACCTTTATATTTTGTTCGAAGTGATCTGGTCTACTCATTGTTTTGAATCCTTGCAAGTTGTTTAGACGTACAGTACCTCATTGCTGTAGCAGTTAGAAGCTCGCTTGTGGATCAGAAGGTGTGGGTTCGAATCAGAAGGGTGCTGGAGTTTTAAAAATCATGATCTAGGCTTGCAGGTTGGCTCAGCCTTAAATGGATACGGGGTAAAGTCCTGGGAAGTAAAGGTGGCCGGTGTGATGTTGACCAGATCACCCACCGACTGCCGATCTGTCTATCAAATATAGGTCTAAGCTGATGTGCTAAATACGCCCGAATGCATAGAAAAGGTCCTCTACGGGACTCTTTTATCCATAATTTAGGCTGTAACCTAAGTCACAAAGTAACATCCTCATATCGTGCGAAATTAGTTTTAAAAAAAAGGACGGCGGGAGAGAGAGAGAGAGAGAGAGAGAGAGAGAGAGAGAGAGAGAGAGAGAGAGAGACAGACAGAGACAGAGAGAGAGAGAGAGAGAGAGAAAGGGGCGGGGGTTCCTTGCCACGTCCTTTATTCATTTCGATAATAATTGATGAAATTCGTACCAGTACCGCTGGTATCTATCAGCAACCCTTGTTTTAAAGGAGTGATCTCCAACGTTGTTTGTTTGCATCCCCTTGGATCGCGGTTACTGTTGACATGACATCCACACACAGACTATAGAGGGATTGTGGGTGGTTGTACGCAAAGCGGAAATCCCACTATCAAAGTTGAACAAGTCATGACCTGTTTTTCAGTTAATTGTTCTGCATTTCAGTGCGGTTGGATTGGATTGGCTTTTTACCCCACCAGGACATCACACAGCGATAAACACCCGATGACACAAAGTGCCACCATGCGGATGAGGATCACCGTGGAGAGGTCCCAGAAACCGCGTTCAGACATTTGGCCATAATGATGACCTGCCTATATTGCGGCCCCTGGCAAAAGCCAGAGTGGGGCTTCAAATAACAAAAAATAACGTCCTAAGAAGGACGTAACGAATATTTTAGTGCGGTTTGATCACAGAGAATAAACTTTTGTGGAAAGTACTTGAAGTTACTGAATGATAACTGTGAAATTTGAAAATGCACTTCTTCAATATGGCGACCGTATGTTACCTAATCCATTGTTTGCTTACGCTAACCTAGTAATTTTCTCTTGAATATTTAATATTGTTTAATGTTAGGGTTAAAGTTAGGGATGAGTTTAACGCAAATCTCAACCACAAACAGGTAAAGAAACGGTGGATTCCATCCCCTATTGTCGCCGTAAACGAACAATGGATTGTGTCCCCTAAGGTGCCTTTCAAAGTTTTGCCCACACATTACACCAATATTATTTTATACAAATTAAAAACATGAAGAGCATGCATGTCAAATGCATGCATTCAAATATAGGAGAGAGAGAGAGAGAGAGAGAGAGAGAGAGAGAGAGAGAGAGAGAGAGAGAGAGAGAGAGAGAGAGAGAGATTGGATATTCTGTGTAGCCACCTTACAATTGGAATCAACACATGACTGATAGAATGTTTGTTTTGTTTCTATCTACAGTTCTTATGTGTTTCCAGCCGTCAGTGCTGAAGCAGCGGACTGGCTTTACACCAACCGCCACATCAAGATGATAGGGACTGATACATACACACCTGACCCGCTTAGCGTCAACGGTGTGAAAGTCACATCATTTCCCGTACACCAGATTTTGCTGTCCAACAACAGCCTCATCGTGGAAAATCTCAAAGGCACAGAACGGTTACCACCTACTGGGTTCATGTTCCATGCTCCCCCGGTCAAATACGCGGGAAACACCGGCGCGCAAGTCCGCGCGTACGCCGTGATATATGAGGCCTGTAACACCACAAAACCGGGGTCTGGTTATTAAAGGATTTGGCCCATTATTACATAATATTCTAAGTACTGTCTGTTATCGTTTTTGTTGTTGTTAATGCCTTTCCAGCCTTCTAGACGATAATATTATACTGTGGTATTTGGACTCGTGGAAATCACAGCCCTTGGCGATAGCGAGTTTGACTAGCAAGAACTGCTTCCGTTAACTCATCCACACATAGATCATATAATTTCAGAACCCTTGTTATCATCGCATGCATTCAACCTAATTCTCATCAGATGCCCAGCTTTGAGTAAGTTTTTCTGTATCTCTATTCTCTTCCGGATTTACCCCTTCCTTGCAGCACAGCCCAATGCAACCTGTTACAATAAACCCCCTCTCAATAAAAAGAAACTCCACAGGGTAGCATGTGTGACACAGTTGTATCTTTCACATCTCCCAGAAAAAGATGTGCCTAATTCGGACAAAGTGTTTCGTAGCTCTCTTGATCGTACTCAACAACACGGCCAGTTATGTAACAAACTATTACAGATGTGGTTTTTTATTTCAACAATATTGTCAAGTCAAGCAGTGCGAATATATTCCATTTATGCAACAGTATAACATTTTAGTATCTTAGTATAACATTCTAGTATCTTATCTTTTGCTGTTTATATATCTGACGATCAGTTCTTTCTTCTCCCTAGCAAAGCAAAACCAAAGTCTCATATATCTTCTAACGAAGTTTTCTCAACTCCCCTCTCAAGCTGTCACATATCACTCCTGTCGCGTGCCTAATGTAAGGATTTCTCCTTCAGAACCAACAGCACTCAGAGATAATTATGTTGAGTCGTTTGGCTCGTATTGGTCTAAGGGATTCCCCGTGGCCAATATACGCTCAACTTATCTCTGGAGTAGGGCAACTCAAGTATTGGCACTACAAAATATGTCAGTATATGCATACAATATTTCTAGGCACACTTGGCTGGACACCCCCACTACTTACTAAAGAAAGCCCCCAGGTTATGATAAGTCATTATCATAACCATGTTAACACATATAGTTAAGATTCATACAAACACAAATGCTAGACATTTAAAAAGGTGAAATAGAGAAACCTAAGTCAGCCATGAAAATGAATGCATGTAATCATTACAACATGTACAAAATAGAAAATAGTGAAGTAGATGTCAAAACACAACAGCTGGATTCCAGAATACAATGACTATAATCAACCAAAGTTAAACAGTCAGAAAGTCCTGGAGGAAGCATATATTCATCCTTGGAATCCAGTGGGGCTGTGGGGAATATAGCATAATCGAGACATAAACTTCACTTATCCCAGTTCCACTGTTGATGCCTCACTCAGCTCCGGGTGAATCGACTGTATTTGACCCTGGTAATTCTGCTCAACTGGATCAGGTAATGGAAGAGTACCTCACCATAGAGGACGCAGCAACTGGATAGGCACACAGCACCTTGATAGGCACACAGTAACTGGATAGGCACACAGCAACTGGATAGGCACACCGCAACTGGATAGGCACACAGCACCTGCTCCCACGAGTAACTCACAGTACTGTCCCTGAGTTACACACATGCTCTGGCACTGGATGATGTTTGGGTTATATTGTACCCCATCTTGAGGAGGACAGTCTTCTCAATTGGTAGTTGGGTGATAATAAGTGGGTGATGGGTTAATTGATTGATGGGTTATGGGTTATGGTTGGTGGGTGTTGGTTGGACTGTGAATCTTCTGCCAGCTCCTCACAAAGGATTCATCCTGCCAAGAAATAACTCAGAATTAGTCATCACCAAGAGGGTAACATCTTGACAGGAAAGACAGAATAAGCATCAGTCATATCCCACATCTGCTTACTCCACCCTTGCTCTCCTGTTTCATTCCTCAGAATGCCTCTCCAGACCCGGAGACCCAAGTCTCCCATATTCATCTGTCTGTTTAGTGCAAGAGAAGGCAAGTCAGATATACAGTGGAGATAGATAGAGTGTTCTAACACATATATCACTCTCTCTCTCTCCCCTCTCCTCTGCACACAGACACCAATATTTACTGTCAGTACATTTATTTCTTATGCCACTCAAAGCTAGTCCTAACATTCATTGATCTGGGTCAAACACACTCTACGCACTGGCCGACAAAGTCCTGACCTAATTCTGTCCCCATTTTGTATGCACAAACTTCTAAAGTTAGTTTAAATAGTACACACTTGTAAGGTTTTATGTTTACCAGTATGAGTGGTTTATTTAAGGCATAGGCTATTTAGTCTGTACAGGGGAAGGTCTACGTTCGAATCCGCTTCTCTAGCGATGAAGAACGGTCGAATTATGTGTGATCCCACAGCCGATACTAATCTCTCTACAGCAGTGACTACTTTACAGACATCATTTTAGGTACTCGTAAACTATAATTAACTTACCCAAGCATATGCAAAAACTGAGACATTCCAGATCGCCTTGTGAAATTGAATTTATACAGGCATAGATTGACACGTCTGGACGCTTGGAGCCGGCAAGAACGAATGGCGCAAATTAAGCACTTCAAGCGTTGGTAAAAAAGGAGTCCCTAGTATACATGGGCAAGGAGTAAATCGGTTTCAAAGAAACCTCAAATAACTCCCCTTATATATATCGAAGATATATACATTTAAAAGTGGAGTTTAGTTAAAGCAACCAGAAAATGTAGACATAATAATGTTGTCCAATAAAGGCCTATATATATAGATATAAGGGACTATATCTTTCCGGGCGAGTCCAAGTTTGAATTTTGTGCCGATTACAGGTAAGTGAGGTTACCAGTCTTACGGACTGATGCGTAATGGCTTATCATTTCACGACACAAGCCTCTAGGCATTTCCTGTTCTTGTCCGCTGCCCCTGAAACCTCTCCGCACTCACTGTCTGTCCCTCTCTTCTCTGCTCTTCACCCCCGCTTCATCTCTCTTTTCACGGCGTGGGTTCTCAATCACCCCCTGTCACCCGTCTCCGGTTGTCACGTTTGAAAAACGTACTCTATTCAACCCTGGTCACAGTGCACCTGGTTTATCTGTTTCGCTTTGTCGGGCCAGCTTTCTAATCACCTTTTTCTGTTATGCCATCCAGTGATGGATTGGCATGCCTTGATGCTGGTATAAAATGTATGCATTCTTCATTTAACCCCTTCCTAACTCTATTTCATTACATTTTGCCCCCTTACATTTTTTTTTCAAATTGCTTCTTATCTGCAATTTAATCTCTATAAACTACTCTAATTATACCCGCTACCTAACTAGACCTTATATGAACATCTGGACACGTAATAAAAGCATACATCACAATATTTAACGTAATAAAATGCTTACAGCATAAGACAAAATTGAAATTCGTACAGTGACCAATAGTCATTAATTCAAAAGACATAAAATAAACGATATATCTCCCTCTTTGTATTAGCATACCAACATCTGATTCACTTGTCACCCTAATAAATGTGCGGAGTTGTCTGAAGTATAAAGTACTCCCACATTATAAATTCAAACCTGATCATTGTTCATGCGAGGCGATGTCTTCATAATCACATCGAGAACGGTTAATTTTAGGACGTATATCTCACGAGTAAGATTTAATGAACATCTATGCGATTACTAGTGAAATAAATTAAAATGATAAACATTGTACTACATTTAAAATGGTTCGTATATATATATATATATATATATATATATATATATATATATATATATATATATATATATATATATATATATATAGACAACAAGAAATGGTATGCCATGTATCCCCAGTTATCTATAACGTAAAACTCGAGAATGTCATCTCCTCAAGAAAGAAGGGAAAAGGGATCTATATGAAATTCAACATAAACTGACTAATGACGAATAATATTTACAGATTATAAGAAATTCTTATACCGTTAGGTATAGTAACTGTAGATAATTTCTTAGAAGGGAACCGTAGCATTTCTTCTAGTCGAATGTGCAATGCTACTTCGTGTGGTTTACAGTTATTATGTCTACTGTAAACGTTGACAGAGTTTCTTGACGCTTCCTTTAGAAGTTAATTCCTCTGTTCAATGCATATCGCAACTTTTGTAAGGAATAGTCGGCGTGTTTTGTACTTATAAATCATGTCACATCTTAGACTGGCTTATCGCCAAGTATGTTTCTCACTGTATACCTCAGTAAGAGTCTGTTTAAACATGATTATCTTCTCTAATGATTCTTATCATTTATGTTTCTGGCATATTGTAAAACAATATGTTTTTTGTGTGCCAGTGACTCTATTGGCAAACATTTATTATGTAGGTATTGTAATCTTTACCAACAACAGAACGTGTAGATTTGCAATTGTCAGGGATAGTACTATTCAAATATGAAACGTTCATAGGGCAAAACAACATGTAAATATTTAATGATAAGGACAAAACAACAGGTACATATTTATTATTTTCGGACAAATGACACTTAGGCACAACAACAGAATGTGTATAGTGAGAGTGTGGGCGCGTTACCTCTGTACACAGCAAGATAGCGTACGTAAATATGCACGAACAAAATTTAATTTATGTTTGAAATCAAACTTAATTAAAATGATAACTTGTATAAATGGTTGGAGTGAAAAAGGCAGGTGGTGGTAGGCAGCTTAGCTCCATTTCAAATACAGAGGTCACAGGAGTCAGCCCTCCCTTTCTATTTTTAAGGGGTGAATGGGAAATGGGAATTGGGAAGGGGGAAGGGGGGGGGGGAGGGCTTAAGGTATCAAAGCCACCAGGTTTGGGCACACCTGCTGTAAAGCCCTCTGCTAGTATATTTTAGCTCATTTTAACAAAGCATAGTAGAACAGCTATTCTTAGTTTTGTTTATGCGGCAACTTCTACTCAGTCCTTTTCTATGTCATCATCAAGAGGTGCATGCGTGCCATTTGTCTCTTCTGGACCTTTACCTGAAAACTTTGACTACGTGAGGTCAGAAGATATCAGTCGGGATGGCATACCCACAGGATTAATAAAGGTTGATATCGTGTGGCTGAAGATTCTCAGTG